CCAGTACAAACGGTTATATACTTGTGAGGTATCTTGAGTAGAATGTGTGCCCAGTACACGCGGTTATATACTTGTGGGGGTAACTTGAGTAGAATGTGTACCCAGTACACGCGGTTATATACTTGTGAGGTAACTTGAGTAGAATGTGCACCCAGTACACAGTGCTATATACTTGTGAGGTAACGTAAGTAGAATGTGTGCCCAGTACATGCGATTATACACTTGTGAGGTAACTTGAGTAGAATATATACCCAGTACAAACGGTTATATACTTGTGAGGTATCTTCAGTAGAATGTGTACCCAGTACAAACGGTTATATACTTCTGAGGTAACTTGAGTAGAATATATACCCAGTACAAACGGTTATATACTTGTGAGGTATCTTGAGTAGAATGTGTACCCAGTACACGCGGTTATATACTTGTGAGGTAACTTGAGTAGAATGTGCACCCAGTACACACTGTTATATACTTGTGAGGTAACTTGAGTAGAATGTGTGCCCAGTACACTCGGTTATATACTTGTGAGGTAACTTGAGTAGAATGTGCACCCAGTACACACTGTTATATACTTGTGAGGTAACTTGAGTAGAATGTGTACCCGGTCCACACTGTTATATACTTGTGACGTAACTTTAGTAGAATGTGTGCCCGGTACACACTGTTATATACTTTTGAGGTAACTTGAGTAGAATGTGTACCCGGTACACATGGTTATATACTTGTGACGTAACTTTATTAGAATGTGTGCCCGGTACACACTGTTATATACTTTTGAGGTTACTTGAGTAGAATGTGTACCCGGTACACATGGTTATATACTTGTGACGTAACTTTATTAGAATGTGTGCCCGGTACACACTGTTATATACTTGTGAGGTAACTTGAGTAGAATGTGTACCCGGTACACACTGTTATATACTTGTGACGTAACTTTAGTAGAAGGTGTACCCGGTACACACTGTTATATACTTGTGGGGTAAATTCAGTAGAATGTGTACCCGGTACACACTGTTATATACTTGTGGGGTAACTTGAGTAGAAAGTGTACCCAGTACACACTGTTATATACTTGTGCGGTAACTTGAGCAGAATGTGCACCAAGTACACGCGGTTATATACTTGTGAGGTAACTTGAGTAGACTGTGTATCCGGTACACACTGTTATATACTTGTGAGGTAACTTTAGTAGAATGTGTGCCCGGTACACACTGTTATATACTTGTGAGGTAACTTGAGTAGACTGTGTACCCAGTACACACTGTTATATATTTGTGAGGTAACTTTAGTAGAATGTGTGCCCAGTACACGCGGTTATATACTTTTGAGGTAACTTGAGTAGAATGTGCACCCAGTACACACTGTTATATACTTGTGAGGTAACTTGAGTAGAATGTGTGCCCAGTACACACTGTTATATACTTGTGAGGTAACTTGAGTAGAATGTGTGCCCAGTACACACTGTTATATACTTGTGAGGTAACTTGAGTAGAATGTGTGCCCGGTACACACTGTTATATACTTGTTAGGTAACTTGAGTAGACTGTGTACCCGGTACACACTGTTATATATTTGTGAGGTAACTTTAGTAGAATGTGTGCCCAGTACACGCGGTTATATACTTTTGAGGTAACTTGATTAGAATGTGCACCCAGTACACACTGTTATATACTTGTGAGGTAACTTGAGTAGAATGTGTGCCCGGTACACACTGTTATATACTTGTGAGGTAACTTGAGTAGAATGTGTGCCCAGTACACACTCTTATATACTTGTGAGGTAACTTGAGTAGAATGTGTGCCCGGTACACACTGTTATATACTTGTGAGGTTACTTGAGTAGAATGTGTGCCCAGTACACACTGTTATATACTTGTGAGGTAACTTGAGTAGACTGTGTACCCGGTACACACTGTTATATATTTGTGAGGTAACTTTAGTAGAATGTGTGCCCAGTACACGCGGTTATATACTTGTGAGGTAACTTGAGTAGAATGTGCACCCAGTACACACTGTTATATACTTGTGAGGTAACTTGAGTAGAATGTGTGCCCGGTACACACTGTTATATACTTGTGAGGTAACTTGAGTAGAATGTGTGCCCAGTACACGCGGTTATATACTTGTGAGGTAACTTGAGTAGAATGTGTGCCCAGTACACACTGTTACACACTTGTGAGGTAACTTTAGTAGAATGTGTGCCGGGTACACACTGTTATATATTTGTGAGGTAACTTGAGTAGAATGTGTACCCGGTACACACTGTTATATACTTGTGACGTAACTTTAGTAGAATGTGCGCCCGGTACACACTGTTATATACTTGTGAGGTAACTTGAGTAGAATGTGTACCCGGTACACACTGTTATATACTTGTGACGTAACTTGAGTAGAAGGTGTACCCGGTACACACTGTTATATACTTGTGGGGTAACTTGAGTAGAAAGTGTACCCAGTACACACTGTTATATACTTGTGAGGTAACTTGAGTAGAATGTGCACCAAGTACACGCGGTTATATACTTGTGAGGTAACTTGAGTAGACTGTGTATCCGGTACACACTGTTATATACTTGTGAGGTAACTTGAGTAGAATGTGTGCCCGGTACACACTGTTATATACTTGTTAGGTAACTTGAGTAGACTGTGTACCCGGTACACACTGTTATATATTTGTGAGGTAACTTTAGTAGAATGTGTGCCCAGTACACGCGGTTATATACTTTTGAGGTAACTTGAGTAGAATGTGCACCCAGTACACACTGTTATATACTTGTGAGGTAACTTGAGTAGAATGTGTGCCCGGTACAGACTGTTATATACTTGTGAGGTTACTTGAGTAGAATGTGTGCCCAGTACACACTGTTATATACTTGTGAGGTAACTTTAGTAGAATGTGTGCCCGGTACACACTGTTATATACTTTTGAGGTAACTTGAGTAGACTGTGTACCCGGTACACACTGTTATATACTTGTGACGTAACTTTAGTAGAATGTGTGACCGGTACACACTGTTATATATTTGTGAGGTAACTTTAATAGAATGTGTGCCCAGTACACACTGATATATACGTGTGAGGTAACTTGAGTAGAATGTGTACCCGGTACACACTGTTATATACTTGTGAGGTAACTTGAGTAGACTGTGTACACGGTACACACTGTTATATACTTGTGAGGTAACTTTAGTAGAATGTGTGCCCAGTACACGCGGTTATATACTTGTGAGGTAACTTGAGTAGAATGTGCAACCAGTACACACTGTTATATACTTGTGAGGTAACTTGAGTAGAATGTGTGCCCAGTATACACGGTTATATACTTGTCAGGTATTTTGAGTAGAATGTGTGCCCAGTACACACGGTTATATACTTGTGAGGTAACTTGAGTAGAATGTGTGCCCAGTACACGCGGTTATATACTTATGAGGTAACTTGAGTAGAATGTGTGCCCAGTACACGCGGTTATATACTTGTGAGGTAACTTGAGTAGAATGTGTGCCCAGTACACGCGGTTATATACGTGTGAGGTAACTTTAGTAGAATGTGTGCCCAGTACACACAGTTATATACTTGTAAGGTAACTTGAGTAGAATGTGTGCCCAGTACACGCGGTTATATACTTGTGAGGTAACTTGAGTAGAATGTGTGCCCAGTACACGCGGTTATATACTTGTGTCGTATCTTGAGTAGAATGTGTGCCCAGTACACGCGGTTATATACTTGTGGGGTAACTTGAGTAGAATGTGTGCCCAGTACACACTGTTATATGCTTGTGGGGTAACTTTAGTAGAATGTGCGCAGTACACACTGTTATATGCTTGTGAGGTAACTTGAGTAGAATGTGTGCCCAGTACACACAGTTATATACTTGTGAGGTAACTTGAGTAGAATGTGTGCCCAGTACACACTGTTATATACTTGTGAGGTAACTTTAGAAGGACAAATCCTCACATCCGAACCTGTCCGCTTGTGACTTTAACAGAATAGAACTGGGCCTACTGTTGATGTTTCTTGCTTAGAATTTGCTCCCAGTACCTTAATAATCAATTTTATAATTTACCATATATATTTTAACATGTTGTTTGCAGAATTTCAGGTGTCTCCAGTACTCACGCTTGTCTACTAATAATACATCCGACACCAGAGATGTGCTGGACAAATGAAGTCTTTATCTCACTATTGTGGTGATTTCTGGATTCAGTAAAACATATTTTCGTTTTTCTTCAAATACTGCCAAACAGGTATTCTCATGTAGTTTCTTCAGAGCCATTCGTATATAGTTCCGTCAGATCCATCCGTATATTGGTATTAGAGCCAGTCTTATATAATTTCTTCAGAGCCAGTCGTATGTAGTTCCTTCAGAGCCAGTCGTATAAAGTTTCTTCAGAGCCAGTCGTATAAAGTTTCTTCAGATTCAGTCGTATAAAGTTTCTTCAGAGCCAGTCGTATATAGTTTCTTCAGAGCCAGTCGTATAAAGTTTCTTCAGAGCCACTCGTATATAGTTTCTTCAGAGCCGGTCGTATATAGTTTCTTCAGAGCCAGTCGTATATAGTTTCTCCAGATACAGTCGAATATAATTTCTTCTGAGCGAATCATATTTACTTCCTTCGGAGCAAGTCGTATAAGTTTCTTGAGAGCCAGTCGTATATAGTTTTTTCAGAGCCAGTCGTGTATTGTTTCTTCAGAGACAGTTGTATATAGTTTCTCCAGATACAATCAAATACAGTTTCTTCAGAGCCAGTCGTATTATATTTCTTCAGAGCCATTCGTATATAGTTTCTTCAGAGACAGTCTTATTTACTTCCTTCAGAGACAGTTTCTTCATAGATAATCGTATAAAGTTCCTTCAGAGTATGTCGTATAGAGTTTCTTCAGAGCCAGCCGTAAAGAGTGTCTTCAGATCCAGCTCTATACAGTTTCTTCAGAGGGAGCCGTATATAGTTGTTTTTTCAGAGACAGTCGCACTAAGTGTCTAACCTCTCCTTGTTTACCTTCAGGAATACGTGATGCCCGGTGTGATAATCTGCTGGACGGCACAGGGAACGTGATGGCTAACGGCAAGGCTTGCAGAGAGTTCCTCCTGTGCTGGAACTACTATATCTACGGCCCTTTGCCCTGCGCTGGTGACACATTGTTCAACTCAACAAGCGGCAATTGTGATGCAACGCAATGCTCCGATGACAGACAAGGACCTTTGGACGGTGCGTTCTCGAGTACCACTACAATTATTAATGTAACAGCTACGTTGACTGCTACTACAACTACTGAACCCTCTACTACTTCTACGACAAGTTCTACCGTTAAAGAATAACTTATAATGAATATATCCTTGGATCGTTGCTACTTATGCTGCTGCCACTACTACTACTACTACTACTACTACTACTACTACTACTACCACCACCACCTGCACTACTACTACCACTACACTACTCCACTACTACCATTACCACACCTACACTACTACTACTACTACAACTACTACTGCCACTACTACAACTTCTACCTCCACCACTATCACAACTACTACTACCACGCCTACTACCTCTACCTCCACCACTACTACTACCACTGCTACTTCTGCTACAACTACTACTACCACTGCCACCACCTCCACAACCACTACCACCACTATTACTACTACCAGTACTTCTAGCTTCACCTTTACTATTGCTACTGCTATTGCTGCGACCACCACTACTACTACTTCTACTACTACTACTACTACTACTACTACTACTACTACTACTACTACTACTACTACCACTACAACTACTACCACTACTACTACCACCACTAATACTACCACGACTACTTCTACTACTACTACTACTACTACTACTACCATTGCTACTACCACCACTACTACTACCACCCCTAAGACTACTACTACCACTACTACTACTACTTCTACTACTACTACTACTACTACCACTTGTGCCATAGGAAGCCATCGTGATGGTCCGGATTTGACTAGTTTCATTCAAATTGTGTCGGTAATTAAACTGGATCAGGTTGTCAGGCTTGGTGTCTTGGTTGTTTGGGTGTCATTGTACCCCGACGGCGCCGGAAACTGCTCAGACTCTATTATATACGGACTGTCGTCATGTACATTATAGCTGGAATAGTGTTTAAACGAAAACGAAAAACTAAATAAATATGAAATATCAGAGCGTGAAGTATTCCCCCAACATGCAAGAGATGTTAATTGTTTTTCAATGAAATGATGCGCTCCAACACACAGTCTAAATACAGTAAACTACGGTTATAACGAACACGCTTAAAAGGAACTGACTGATATAACGAACTTATTTTTTAGTCCCGGCAATTTGTTGTATATATGCTGTATATATCCTTATAACGAACTACGGTTGTAACGAAGTTTACTGTACTGCATTTTGTATGTTTTTTCAAGGGTGTGCTTTCACGGGTGCTCTACCGGAGGACTGCAGCCGATTCGTCACCTGTGCCAACGGTTTGGAATGGCAGTACCAATGCGGCAAGGGAACCTACTACAGCAACAGGCTGCTCGTGTGCGTCAGCCCCTTAGAGTACCCGGAAATCCCAGCAATACAGGGATGTGCCTACTTTCCATTATAACTTCAGTAACTACACCAGCTGCATCTACAACTGCAGCAACTGCATCTACATCAGATACACCTTCAGCGCTTGCAACAATCTCGCCCTGACTAGCTGACGGCTATCTCACGGGAAAGAAGTCATTCAGAAAAGTTGAGATATATTTTTTAAAATTGCATTGTACTGATATGTTTCACAAACATGAAAACAACCCGAGAGAACGAATAACAATTTAAATCAATATTCCTCAATTGTTTTATTGCTTTGACATTAATTGTACCACTGCTATTGAAAAAAGTTGAATTACTTTGCACCTCGTAATTTTGGTATTATTTTTGTTTGTTTTACTTCCAATCACTGTTGTGAGGCGGCAACATGGACTACCTGGACAAGAGGTCTGTTGCAAATTGTTCCTTATCATAACATAGACATAGTAGTGTTATTTGATTTGATCCGTCCGATCGTACATTGTTTGTTTGTTTTACGCCGCACTCAGAAATATTTTAGCTATATGACGGCGGTCTGTAAATAATCGAGTCTGGACCAGACAATCCAATGATTGACATCATAAGCATCGATCTGAGCAAATTGGGATACGATTTTATGCATCAACCAAGTAAGCGAGTCTGACCACCCGATCCCGTTAGTTGCATCTAACGACATGCATGGGTTGCTGAAGCCCTATTCTAACCCGCGTCCATCGTGCATTGTATTCAACCTTCTTATTAAGAAACAGCTAAAGCTTCAGACAGCGTCACTAGTTTCACGTCAAGGATATATTATATGTGCGACTCGGCTAATGAAAGAAAAAAGTGGTTCATATCACAATAAAAATCTGTTCTGAAAGTGGCATTTTTTTTCCACATTCGAAAACAAATAGGTAGTTACTGTTACATAACCTCTTCGTTAATAATACATGATAGCATTGCCAATTAATAAAGCAGTCTACCCTAACACTGAAGAAAACTTTATTCTGTTTGGTCAAGATATCAATAAAGTCTGGTATCTAATTCCATTAGATACCTCAACATATTGGCATGCCTTTTCACACACAAATTTGGAAGTGACTACATCGATCTATCGATACCATCTCAATACATATAACTACGGTTGCCGATAACTAATTGGAACTGAATACGTTCGCCCCTCAGTCTTTCTGCCCCTCCGTCCTTCTGTCGGTCACGTCTCGTTTCCGGAGCAGAGAGATATCTTAACCAAACTTGGTATACATATACTCTTAAAAAGGAAAGAAACGCAATACAGATATTGTTGGTCATAAAAGCAAAATTAGCTGACCAAGAAGCGCAAAATGAGGAGGTTTAATGTGTTATAGTGTCAGTGACAAATTTCCCGGATCCAAATGATCACAACAAGGACATGCAAACCATTGATCGGGAAGAACGTACGATTCGGAAAAACACACCCAATGCATTACCATAAGGGCAACGGAGCTGCACGCACTGCATGTGCAGCAGGACCATGAACGCTATTACAGTGCAGGGTTTTTGATTGCCTGGCATCTGCGTCAATCGAACAGTGACAGTTCAACAACATGCCAAGATGAACAGAAGTGCAGAGAAACAACGTCATAGGGGAATCCCGATCAGCTGTAGCCAGGGTTTTCAATGTAGCGCCCAGCACCATCACAAGGCTATGGGATCGGTTTCAACAGCATGGGTCAACACGTGGTCGACCAAGAGTAACCACCCCCGCCCAAGATCGCTACATCCGACTGCGCCACCTACGTGAAAGGACGACCACAGCTACCCAGACCGCATCCAAAATACCCGGACTGCGCAGAATCCCCGACCAGGCCGTACGAAACCGTTTAAGAGCAGCAGATCTACGAGCAAGACCTCCTGTTTGACGCGTCATAATGAGTCGACAACATCGTCAACAACGACTGCATTGGTGTCGTCAACACAGGGTATGACCTCAACTGCGATGGAGAGATGGCTGGTCGAGGGGGTGGAAGAGCAGGGGTCTACAGACGTCGAGGAGAACGTAACGCCGGAAACTGTGTACAGGAAGTGGACAGGTTTGGTAGGGAGTTGCGTTATGATGTGGGCAGCTTTCTCTCATCATGGCAGGACAGGTTTGGTCGATATCCAGGGCAATCTTACGGTTCAACGATACATCAACGAAATTCTTCTACCACACGTCCTCCCAATTGCAGCCAACGGCAACGGTGTATTCCAGCAGGACAACGCTCGACCGCATACAGCACGGATCACAAGAGCCTGTCCACACAACAACAACGTTGATGTTCTCCCCTTGTCCCCCAGATCCCCGGATTTGAACCCGATAAAACACCTATGGGTAGAATTTGGAAAGACGGCTACGCCGACGTCAACCACAACCCGTTACGTCGCATTGTTTCAATACCTCGTATAATGTATTTTCCTACCTCACACAAATCTGGCTTTGCGTTTCTTTTTTTTGAAGGGTATAGAAAGGTGAGCTGGTGTCTTTGGATAGTTTGGGATTTATAAAAAAATCTGAGCAGTTTCCGACGCCGTCGGGGTACGATGACACGCAAACAACAAATACGCCGAGCCTGACAACCCGATCCAGTTTAATCGCCGGCATAGGTTGATTGGACCAGACAATCAAGTGATTGACATCACGAGCAACGATCTACGCAATTTGGATACGATGACATGCAACCACCAAGCCACCGAGCCTGACCACCCGATCTCGTTAGTCGCCTTTAACGGCAATCATCGGTTGCTGAAGATCAAGTCTCACCCGGATTTCAAATTGCAAGTGGTTCGGTGGCATTTCATTTGGCTAATCAAACAAAGTCTTTTTTGCGTTTGTATGTCCATAAACCGAAATAACAACAGGCCACGCCCACTAACAGACTACTGTTTTTTTATTAGTTGATAATAGAATGGGCGGGGCTTGTGTTGCGTCATTGCCCTGAACGATGTCGCTGATGTACTGTTGACTACATTGTTGTTACTGTTGACCTAGTCATTAGCAAGTGAGTGAGTTTTATTTTACGCCGCTTTTAGCAATATTCCAGCAATATCACGGCGGTGGACACCAGAAATGGGCTTCACACATTGTACCCATGTCGGGAATCGAACCAGGGTCTTCGGCGTGACGAGCGAACGCTTTAACCACTAGGCTACCCGACCGCCCCAATACAACTAGAGGGATGGTAGGGTAGACTGGTGCGAAATACGCTATCAGTCGGAAAGCGCACGTTAAATCTCCAGTGTGATGATGATGATGGTAGCCTAGTGGTTAAAGCGTTAGCTCGTCACGCCGAAGATCAGGGTTCTTTCCCCACATGGGTACAATGTGTGAAGCCCCTTCCTGGTGTCACCCGCCGTGATATTGCTGGAGTATTGCTACAAGCGGCGTAAGACACTACTCACTCCCTTTTACAACTCGAAGTTGTTGACCGAGGTGCTCAAGAATATATAATTTTACACTCACTCACAGTTTAACCTGTCCATGCGCACATGTTGGCCAAAAGTACTTCTACAAGAGAATATTACCGAAACACAGCGTGGAATTGAATAATATACCAAGATACAAAACACGATCACAGACGTAGTGTTGCCTGATTAAAATGTGTCCCAGGGTACAGTAAACCTACTTCACAACCTTGGACCAATTTCGACATATAAAAGCGGAATTAGCTGGTCCGATCACAAGTGCGTCGTGTCAAACATCGAAGACCCACGATGTGCCCAGATGAATGTGAGTTTGTTGCTGTGGCCGCGTTGAGCACTAGAAGTACTAAATTCCACTGTCTCTTTCACGCTCTTCATTATCGCCATCCCACGCTGATGCCAAATGTCGTGACCCCGTCTCCTTCAGCCGGACAGAAGTGGATAATTAGCAGTTTACTTGAGGGGCGTTGGAAGATGAGAGATTATGGTGGTATGAAAAGTGTGTTTGTGCGCATGTCCGTTGGCAGTTTCCATATTGAAATTTGAACTCTTGGCCCAATTTTCGACATCCTATTAAATACAGGAACAACAACAGACTTTATTTTGAATCCTTGCTGAGTAATAACTGTAAAAAGAACCTTCCCGTGATTGTCTAGTTTTGTAGGGATTTTAGTATTTCCTCAGTCAAAGTAACTGGGTGTTTAGTCTATTAGACTAGTTTTATATTCATTTTAGGGATTAGTCCTCTGTGTTTATTTCCCGTTATTTAACCCAGCCGATGTTATTCACTCATTGAATTTATTAATTGGTCGCAGCCAACACAATCGGCTGTCTATGCATCGGTATCTTGTCAAAGTGTTGTTTTAGCTACTCTCATTATATTACTGTAATACAGTTGCTTAGATAAGCCGATTGTATATTTAATTTATTCATCAAAAATCTTTGTTAGCGCAGATTGGGTTTATTTGAGACTATAAATTGTCATCTATTGATACAATTGTTAGTAATAAAACGGTGAACCTATTACCACGTTTTCATTATTACCTTATTCTGATTTAATGATTCTCTTGATCATTGGAGCACAGCTCCATTACAGGAATCAATATCACATCTATGTAAAGCCACGCCCCTAAATACTGTAGTTACGACGGGATATAATGAACGATGCACAGTCAGGATGAACCACGCCAGTGATATGTCTGTGTTAAGTAAGGGAGTCAGGACAGTGCAACGACGAACTTGTGGAATGTGCCGGTGCAGGTGCCGTCTTCTGTGTACTTCCTAGACTAACATTTAGTCTCTGAAATCTTATATTACACAATATCCTTCTTGACTCTAAAAATAAAAAATATTCCCTATGCTGATTTCAGAGTGTGGAATAGAGCTAGATGGCTACACTTGCTTTTGTATGCATTTCTAGGTTATTATTTTTTCATAAAATAAATATATTCCACGGTCATGGTGCAGGACTATGTACTTCCGTACACGCCGCTGTGGCAACCGAAGTATATGACCTTTGTTGCCTTATAATTCATTAGATAAGTGACTATTTCTCTTACATATGGTTTGTGCAGGCAACCAATTCTGGAAGTAGGACTAGACTAGACTCAATCCCAAACGTCTTACCATACGAGATGACGAAGAACTAAAGTTTGTTTGTGATATAGATGTATGATAGGCATATGCTGCCTAGGTTACTATTGCCTCAACACGCACTGACTGGCTGAAGGGGTAGCTCTGGTTCACATTATTCGTGTTTTTAGTCAACGACTTGTGTGATGGAAGAGACTTTTTATGTCAACTTCTTTATTATGAGGAACACAACGTTTCGGAGTAAAAACTTATTACTTCATTCACCCGATGAAGGAGTAAGTTTTTTTTATATAGTTTCCTCACAATAAAGAAG